TAGGGTTTAGTTGTTAGGGTTTAGGGTTCAGGGTTTAGTTGTTAGGGTTTAGGGTTTAGGGTTTAGGGTTTAGCTTTTAGGGTTTAGTTTTTAGGGTTTAGGGTTTAGGGTTTAGTTGTTAGGGTTTAGGGTTTAGGGTTTAGGTTTTAGGGTTTAGGGTTTAGGGTTTAGTTTTTAGGGTTTAGGGTTTAGGGTTTAGTTTTTAGGGTTTAGGGTTTAGTTGTTAGGGTTTAGGGTTCAGGGTTTAGTTTTTAGGGTTTAGTTTTTAGGGTTTAGCGTTTAGGGTTTAGCGTTTAGGGTCTTCCCTTTGGGAGGGGGGGGGGGCAGGAGAGTCAGGTGGGGAGGGTTTCCCTTTTAAAGGGACCCTTGAAGGGGTCTGTAAGGGATCTAGAATAAGGTGCCTTTGTTCTTTCGGGAGGGGTTCTTGTTGAGGGTTGAGTTTAAGGTGCCACAAAACAGAAAGCATGTTAATGTTGTTTTCTGTAGGTCCCTATTATGGTAACTTAACTTAAACTCCTTAACCAAACCCAGGGACGGGGTTTAGAGATTAGGCGTTGAGGAGTTGGGGTTTGGGGGTAGTAGCTGAGTAGCTAACCTTGAACCTTTTGGGTTCGATACAATGCTACCATAATTGAAAAGGTTATATATCCTTTTTGGGGCATTTTCGGGCTAGGTTACTCAGCCCCTAGAGTGGGGTTTAGGGTTTGGAGCGGGTGTTTCTACATTGTATACAACATGAGACATGTAAACTCTCGTCACCATATTATTATCGGTCTCTACCAGACACTTTCCACGACTATACCCTCCAGCATCCGAAAGCCTGAGCCTCCGTGCTGCACGCTGGAATCTTCAGCCGCACAGCCAACGAGCAATATCTCTCTAGACACGAAAACAACCCTAAACCCTAAACCCTAATTAAGTCCTTAACACCAGAAGCCCTTAGCAGCTAAACCCCTCCGAAGGGGTGTAGTGCATGTTTGGGTTCCCTGACCTTCTATAGCTTAGGCATATTCTATGTATCGACTTGGGATAATTTTAATTTCCCTGAACTATTGTTTAATGTAGAGTCCTAATTGTAAAAGCAAAGGGACTGTTGACATCGACACGTAGAATTTCATGTAGGATGTAGGGTTGAGGAGGTGGTAGACCGGAGCATTGGCGGCTTGTTTCTGCACCCCACACCCTTGACATCGAAACGTCACGAGCCCCGCGACCTTTAACCCTAAACGCTAGACCCTAGACCCGAAACTGTAAACCCTAAAACCCTCAAGCCTGAAACACTAAACCCTCAAACGCGGAGAGGCCTACACGCGGGATGACTCAGGACCCCTCTGGGAGTGCAGACAAGACATCGACAGGCCCGGCGACATCCAAAGACGGCTCATCATAGAAGCTTGAAGAGTTAATTATCAATGCTTGCTGTTCCTTGAGGTTCCTGGTATAGTATCCGACAAACAGCATTCTATAGTTATTACGATGCCTTAAAGGACACGAACTTGGCGGGGACATAGGTCGGATAGAAAATAAGATATGGAGAGAGGTCCTTGTGCGTTTAATGTGTCGTAGATGGTTTGTTCCGGAAAGCTGCTGACTTTAGTCTTACAGAAGTAGGTTGACCTTAGCTGCTTTCGCAAAAGCCTTCATCTTGTATACAAATGCTAAGAAGCACTGTAGCAGTGGTTCCGGCAGCAGCTGGCGGCCCTGTCGGCATCATGAACGAATATTGGTGGATGCAGGGCCTAGGGCTCAGGCTCATCTACAACCCGACCTGTCCCATGCACCCTCCTCCTACCTCCCTCACTCTCACTCTCTCACTGCGTCACTCACTCACTCACTCACTCACTCACTCTCTCTCTCTCTCTCTCTCTCTCTCTCGCTCTTTCTCTCTCACTCTTCTGGTTCTGTTCTTCATCATGTCGACGCGAGGGACTCGAGGGAGAATATGCGAATAGGCGTTGATGCTGCGGTGGTTTAGGGTTTCATCTCAAGGCATCGTTGGTGCTTAGGGCATCACTGTCTACAGAGTTTAGATTATTTCGCTATGGTAGTTCCAGAAAATTCAGGGGCCCAAAATCCGCAGCAGGAGGAGCACTGGTTAAGGTACCTCTATCCTCATGAAACCACATTTGAAAAATGAAGCCGCACACATCCCAGAGCTCAAGAGCCCAAAGCTGTCGTGCAGCCTCCTGAAATGCGAGGACGCCTGGGCGACAGGGTTTATATGGGTGGTTGTCAAAATTATGGTCCCTTTTTGGGTACCCTAAATATTAGGCGCAGTATTATAATAAGGATCCAAAAAGGGACCCTAATATTGACAACCACCCTAATATGGTTTAGTAAAGCCTTCTCTTGCACCATCATGATTTTAGCATCCCTCTTCTCCACGTCATCCTTGCTTAAAGGATGATGGGACTTAGTAACTGGGGTTATAAATAAGGTAACTATACTTATAACTCCAATCAGGGGACATATAACTTATAACCTTACTTACTAAGTCCCCTGATCCTCCAAGTACGCTTGTTGATGGGAGTCCGCGCAAGGCCTTCCAACTGCCACTAAGATTATGAAGCCTCAAACCCTCAACCAATCATCCTTCGTCCTGAGCTGCACAACAAAAAAGCTGAGCATTCAAGATTCCCCCTAAACCCTGAACCCTAAACCCTGAACCTTAACCTAAACCCTAAACCCAAAAGCGCCTGAACCAGAAGCCGGGCAGCCTGAACGTCGCAAGCGAGGCTGATCGAAAAAGCTGAGCGGGCTTTCAACCAGGCCGGACATTCGTCAAGATTTCGGCTTCAGGGCCTCAGGCTACTCTTCAGGGTTTAGGGGTTCAGGGGTTTATGGGTTTAGGATGGTTTAAGGGTTTAGAGGTTTAAGGTGTTAAGATGATTTATGGGTTTAGGGTTCAGGGTTCCGTTATTGGAGGTGTTGCGAATTTCGTTGCTCGGGTCGATGGTCCAGGGTTTGGGTGATTACGGTTTAGAGATGCTTTCAAAAATAGGGGACCCTAATATAGTACCCTAGATAGTCGTACTCATACAGAAGCTACCCCCCTCAAAAAAACACACACACACACACACAGACAGACACACACACTCTTGAAAAATGAAGGCTACAACCGAAGCTCCCCCGAGCCGGGGGTTTAGGGCTCAACTGGGTTTGGGGGTTTAGGGTTTAACTGGGGTTAGGACTCAAGGGGCTTCGGGGTTAGGGCTCAAAGGGGTTTTCGGGGTAAGGATTCAATGTATACTAATAATTCACAAAAAGACAGGATCTAGAACGATAAAAATAAGAAGAACGCTAAAGATACTACGAATATGGACAATCATTTGTTAAGAGCGAGAGGTTTTTTGAAGGACCCTTCACTCGATCTCATGGAGAAGATCTCCAGATTCACTGCGTGCTTCGTGAGGACATGAGCACTCTACTAGTTGGTACACATCCATCACGTGCAGTGGGAACACGGTTCTTGCCTGTATACTTACCACCATCAATCAACAGCGAGTATCCCTGCATCTCGAAGCCAGTATAATAACACCCAGGCCGAACATCCTGCAACGCCCTAGTTGCAGAGGCTGGCTTCTACGGCTGGCTTGCCTTTGTGAAGACGAAGATCTTGCCGGCGGTGCATGAGAGGTCCCTTTTCCTGAAGTTCTTATCCCCTCCCAGCCTGTAGACAGGTTTCAGGTAGGCCTACAGCCAGAACCCATCCGAAAACCCATACCTAAAAAGCCTCTAAACCCCAGACTTCCATTAAGAGGGCTACACCCCAAACGGCTTAGGGCCGCGGCGTTTCCTTAAACATTACGGTTGAAGGACGGAGAGTGGAGGCAATCAGTTGGGTTCGGCTTGCTAGGCTCAAAGATAGCATTTGGCGCTTTCTGTGCACCACGCTTCTCTTTGTTGGCCGTACCAGCACGTTGGAAGCTTTGAATAAGTCAGCATCCAGCTTTTGGTTCAGATTGAGACTGGACGGGCTACTCCCACCCGCTACCAAAACCCACAGAAGTAGGTAAAATGATGGCGCAACACCCATAAAAAAAAGACTAGTTCTCTAGAAGCTTTCACTGTCCAAGTAAAGCCTAAGCCCTAAACCCTCAGCCCGTGTGAGATAGTACAGGGCTCGGAACAATTGACCATAGTGTGCGCAGAGTTTTCGTACAACATATCCCAAAACCCTATTCTAATCATTAGAGGCCCCTGACGAAACGGTTCTGGCACCCGTTTGGAACTCCTGGAGGAGTCCTTCTAACACCGTCGCAAGGCGCCATATTCTACTTGTTAAGGCTCCTTACACCCTAAACCCTGAACCCTAAACCTCAAACCCTAAGCCTAAACCCTCAACACTGAACCTTAAGCCCCAAATCCCAACCACTGAACCCTAAGCCCTAAATCCCAAAGTCCAAACCCAATAAGGCTCCTCCATGTTTCCCCGTGGCTGCAGGTTCCGAGAGAAGGAGCAAGATCGGTGGAGAGTCGCAGAGGCTGAGGACGCGGGGTTGGGGCTCGGGTCTTGGTTTGATGGTAAGCCCAAAGGCTCCATGTACCCATATAGTAGGCACTGAGGCCTAAAAATACCTACATAGGGACCCCTTTAAGGCAGAAGTACCTACTATATGGGTACATGGAGTCTTAGGGTAGTGTTTAGGGTTCAGGGTTGAGGGTTTGGGGGTCAGGGTTTGAGGTTCAGAGATTAGGGTTTAAGGTTCAGGGTTTTGGGGCCGTCATGTTCTGAATCTTTTTTGGGTGGGGGCTTTGTTGTAACCCATGCATGCTATCTGCTGGCTTCCGGTGTGTGCTGGTTAGCTATGGTTGAACTGACTCTGGCCTACCTTGGGGCGGGAGAGCTTTGACATAAACCCTCAACCACCCTGAACCCGCAACCCTCGGCCAGCGCAACCCTAAACCCTAAACCCTAACCCTTTAAACCGCAGAGCTATCAGGCAGCTTGGGATGCGCTGCGCCCGGCAAATTCGGTAGCCGCCTCCGGCAAGTTGGACTCCTGGCGGGAACTTAAGGGTTTAGGATTTAAAGGGGTCCTTAAAGGGTCTACTATAAAGGATCTATTTTTTTACAAGGGTACCATAGTATAGGGGCTTTAATGATTGGAAAAGGGTTTAGGGTTTTGGGCATGAAGGGTGAGGGTATATGGTATACGGGGTTTAGTGCTTCTGGTAAAGAGTTCGGGGATGTTTGGGGTAAGGGGTTTAAGGTCTGGGGTTGAGGGTTAGGTTAGGTACTAACAGAAGCACATGAACAAGGCTATTCGAGGTTGTCTAAACGATGTTAAAGATGTATAAAGGTTGTAGGGCTAAACATTCGGTGGGCGACCATAGGAGTGTGAACTTCAAAGCTTCAAAACGCGTGCTACTATAGGCTGTAGGGCTGCATGCTGAGATTTGGATATGAGTAGGTAGAGTGCGACGCATATGCGCCCCTTCGCTTTCCTCTGTTTCTTAGGTTTTTTGTATGCACTAGAAACTTCTGCTGGGTCCGAGTGTGTATACTTGTGCTGCACGTCTTGGGCCGGACCGACTGCCGGACCCTGTCATCTTCGCCTACCTAAGCATAAACCCTGAATCCCTTGCACGCGAGCCGCACAGCGTGAAGTCGTGTACTTTAAACGATCATAAGACATAGGACTTAGAGTAACCAGGGTTATACACGAGGTAACTGTACCTATATAACTATTTTTCACCACAGTTAAAGATAACCCTAGGAAGTAAACCGCCAGTTAATGTATTCATAACCTTACTTACTACGACACCTGATCCTCCAAGTACGTTCATGAGACCTGGAATGCGAGGAAAAACTGGTGGAGCTGCTGGAGGAGTTTCAAGGTGCCAGAAGAGCAGAGAGCGTGGTGCATGCATGGAGAGATTTTTCTTGAAACTGGGTAGACTATATAGGGGCCTTGATAATTCGAACAGGGTTTGGGGTCCATTATACTATGGTTAAAACTAGCTTCTTCAGGATACTAGAATTGAATGTGGATAATGTGGATCGATCCCGTGATGCAGCATCGATATTCGTGTCCTCTTTCAAGCCTTACTGAAGAGATGGGGTTTGAAATCGTTGCGACCAGTGGTCGTATCCAGATACACACCTTGTTACCGTGTCCTTCGATTCGTTTACATAAATGCTAGACCCACTGGTTTCGGTGGTTGTACAGCCTCCCGGTGCCCATGTTACTGTTAATGTAGACCTCTGTCATTGCAAATCCTATTGCTTTCAATGCCTTGCTATTGGGATTCGTACTATAAGTATGTATTTGCGCAGGAAGGTTTATTCGTCAGGGCTCCGCAGCACCGGTAGAACCCTTCAAGTCTTCATAATATCATCATAGCCAGCTGTATAAAAGCGTGAAAGACACCATTCTAAGCCTGTAGCTTTCTCATTGAACCATCGCAATCGATTCCTTAAGCATGGGACAGCGGCGGGTGCGAACTTCAAGGGTTTAGCCACCCTACACCCGCAGCACCGAAACCGCTCGACTACACAATCTGATACCCGAGAGACCCCACCATCCACAGCTAAAGGCGCCCTTGTCTGACTCTGACTCCGAGGTGCAGAAAACGATGCAAACCGGATTCTGGTGTTCGTGGCCCAGGCAGGAGTCTGTGCCGAGCGAGCCTGCCAGCTTTGCAGGTGTTCCTTAGGAATACTTTTCAATTTTGCCTATAACCAACTGATGGGCAGATAAAAATCTCGTAGAGCAAGTATACATTTGAAACATACAATTAGAAATATGGCCAAGCACATGCGTATACATATACATTATATTGTGCATATACATATATATACATATATATACATATATATATATATATATATAAGTATACATACATCGGTGTGTATGTGTATGTGTATATATATACATATATTTGTATATATGCATATACATATACATGATTCTTTATGTCTATATATATATATATGTTGATGTTGGGTCTGTTAGCTTATAGCAGTGTGATGTGTTCTCTGCTTTGGCCAGCTTAAGACAGACGCTGGCAAGCCCACCATGCAGAGATGTATTAAGTTCGGTGGGTGGGTGTCTTATATGCGGTTCGAAGGCTGTTGGGATTCTGAATTTCGCGACTGCAATTCTTGGGGATGCGTTTGGAGCAGGACAAATCAAGATAAGGTCTCTGTGCTGTCAGAATCTCCAGTCATCAGCCAGCATTCGTTGATCAATGAGTAGCCGACACATGAAGAGCCACTACTCCCAATCAACAGCCGTGGTTATAACACCAGATGCTTTGATCATTAGCACTCGTGTTGTTGCTGTCATGCTGCGAACATGCTGCATACGCTGCCAATAGACTCTACGTAGGCCCAGCAGCAACGGAGCAATAATTTATCCCTGTCAGGTGGATGATGCGTATTCGCTTGCAGTGACCATCAACCGCTATCTCGACAAACCTGTCGCCAAGCACCTTTTCACGCAGTAAATGGATGCTCGTGGGAAGGTGCAGTCATCACTGCACTGAATTGTAGATGTTGTAGTAAAGAGGGGTATCAACGTCACTAGATGTTATGCACCTGGCCGCATGAGCACAACAGAAAGCTGGGCACTCGCCATACGACAAGCACCTTTGCCAGCTATGCTCGTGCCTCTACCGGCGAGTTGAGCCAGGCTTCCTCAGAGCAGGTTGCAGCCGTTGCTTCTGGCTTGCCTTCGTCACAACGAGACAAAGCGCAGGAGACCTTGGGGATGATGACTCCCAGGCTTAGGAACGAAGATGCTGAGCTGTCCAGCTACTTTGCGAGAGGATATGGGGAGGGAGAGTGCTTCGAGGGACAGAAATATACGGAGGATGTGGTGTCAGCAATTCCCACCTATCGCTCTGACACTGCAGATGGACCGGTGCATGTTTGGCGGCATGCCCTTGACCTGCGCGGTCTGGGAGATGGAATTTGCAAGGACCCACTCACACTCTATCACTACACCAATGGCTTGTGCTTCAGGAACGTGGGAAACAAGACGCAGTCATCTTCAGAGCTATTTACATCTCAACCAGGTGCATCGCCCCCGAAACGAGCCTCCCAGGTTGTTCATGCTGTCTTCATATGTCCGTAGCATGCAGGAGCCGTTCGTTTAGCCCTCAAAACCTGAACCCTACGAATAAACCCGGAAGCACGAAAGGCAACCAGCTGCAGCGCCAAGTAACAAAACCGTGAACCCCAAGTACGGCAATCAATCCCTGCACTGTAGCTTTGCAGGTTCAGGGTCTTTATCGATTGTTAGCATGAGGCACCGTGGCGATCCTCGAAAATCCAGCATTCCCACAAGAGACGAGCCAGCGCTAGAGTGTATGTCTGTGCATAGGTGCAGGTATATTTAATGTGTGTATGTGCGCATTCTTGTAAATAAGTGTATACGGATGGATGTTATGTAGCATATGTATGCATGTTTTATGTATACACGTACATTTACAGATTTCCATGTATGTATGTTTGTATGTACGTACTTACAGAGATAGATAGACGAGCGCAGGCACAGACAGCCAGACAGACAGACAGACAGACGTGTTTGCGCATCTTGCTGCATGCTCATGTCTACAAACGTACACATGACTGCTTTTCTAGATCTCAAAATTTCAGAATCCTTCTTCTTGGTAGAGCAAGAGAAGGCCATCATGCTTCTAGAAGCTTAAATAGGGGCAGCATCCGTGGTAGTTGTGAAGAGAGGTTACCAGGTTACCAAGCTCATCAGACATTCCGCACACCTGTAAGTCTCAAGCAGCTTCGGGTTAGTTAAAATCTTTAAAACACCTAGATCTGTGTAGGCAAGCCAGAAACGTTCCTCACCTAACCCCAAAGCCGGTGTGCTACACCACGCTTCCAAATCTTACTCCCTGAGCGCTGGCTGAACCCGATCTCCAGTTCTTAAATCGCAAACCGCCAAATCTCCAAACCCTACATACAAGCTCCTAAACTTCCAAAACAAGTCCTCAGGTATCTGAGTGGCGTCAACTCTATGACACCAGCAGAGCAGCAGAAGGACGGATCGCTTGAAATACGGGGGCTTCTTACAACACTAAGGCTCCTTCTTCCGGGAGGGTGGTGGGAGGGACGGTGGCGGGCGCGAAAGGAGCGGGGGGAGGGAGGAGGGGTACTTCAACCCTAAACCCTAAACCCTACGCCTCGAACCCGTAAAGCCTGCCTTCCCTGCTCACAGGCCCTAAAGGCTTTCTCGGATGGCACCGACCCTGTGATGGTCGCCACCCCGGCCCTCGAGGAAGGCCAGTTGCATCGCCTAGCTGTTGGGGCTTCTGAGAGTTAGGGGTGGGCGTTTCGAAAGGCTTGATGAGTTTTATGGTCTTAATTATCATATTATGAGGAAGTTGTGGCTTCTAAAAAAAAAAGATCCTGCGACATTTGTTTTTTTCTTGGTTTGAAGCCTCATCTGCAGCTGAAGACGCAGTCCGCATGGTGCGTCGTAGTCTCTCTGGTCTGCGAGCGTTTACCCTTGTTAGGGTGCAAATCCCTTCAACAGATTGCATACTCTAAGTTTTTGGGTATACTGTGGTATCGCATTGTGGACTGCCAGTGACAAACATTGCAGCTTAAAGTTTCTACTCGACGCCCTGTTTTCTGCATGCTTTTTGTTTTCTTCGAGATGCCTTGGGAAAATGCTGATGTTCGAGATGTCGGGTTGTACTGTTGCGGGTCAGGGCATGCTTGACTGTGCGAGGTGTCGCAAAACGGAGATTCAACAGTACTACTTACTCTGAGGCTCAGCGGCTTTTTACCGCTAAACCCTGCACCCCGAAAGTTTGCCCTGGCCTCACGGCCCTATCTGCCTTACTTGAACCGGAAACCTCAAATCCAAAAGCGTTCGAAACCCTACAGCCCTAGACCCGAGTTCAAACCCTAAAGCCTAAACTCCCAATCTCGAAAGCACTCAACCAGGCATTGACGTTCCCAGCTGCAACGTCGTCATTCGCCCTGCCCTCGGTTGCTGATGTCTGGAACCGCTCCGCAGCCAGCTACGTGTAGATGCCTTCTGCTGTAAGCGCATGCATGAAGATAGAACACAGTGACCGCAGAGCGAGGAAGTTGAGGAATCAAGCTGCAGCACATAAAAACCAAGGGCATGAAGATTTCAGCGTACATTCGTGCCAGGACATAGTGATCAAGTGAAGCACGATCATAGAGCATCGTCACACATGCCGATGTATAGGCAATTTTGTGAACGAGCGAGTTTAGGGCCTAGAGTGTAGGTTAAACTCTGTAGACTGCCATAGTGATGGTGATCGTATTGGTGCTGCCCGCAGCAATGATGAAAGTGAAGATGGCAAATGACCGCTCCACCTGTGGTTCTAGGGCAGGCAAGCATTCCGCTCGGAAGCGTCGGCAACACTGCTCGTAACCGTAAATGAGGATTTTGCATTGGCAGCTTACTACAGGGGCCTAAATACTTTCCAATACCATTTTGGTGGGTTCCTTGTTATAACTATGTTATAATGTTACCCCCAAAGCCCTTAGAGTAGTTATTAAGGCCCCCGATATAGAACCCTCTTATTCATCTCTTCGCGAGCCCTTTAAGGATGCCTTAAAAGGAACCATATTCTAAATATTAAGGCCCCTCATATCAGGCATCTGCTAAACCGCTGACCTGGCCCCAGGCCTTTCTGGCAGCCTTTCAAGACAGTTCCAAGCAGAACGGGCGAGATGCTGGGTCGTAGAGCGTCGACAGAATAATGAGAATAATACCAGTAATAGAGAATAACAGTAATAGTCGCAAGAATATTAGTAACCAGACCAGCAATAATATCGCATAGTAGTATATGTTGTATGGGGGGAGCCCTAGGAGCGGCTGCACAGGTCAGGGCGCAATGTTTGAGCCAGTTGACCGGCAGCTCAATGCACCCAACCTTCCGAAATGCATGTATTACTGCATGTGCACATATTCGCGTTATCCTGGTTACAAGAGTCAACGGACAAATCACACGATTATTAAACCAAATCCTAGCCACTTACTCCTGATCTAGAACCCCTGGAGCCACAAACCCGACAAGGTTATGATGCTTTCCACACGGCCAAGTCCCACATCCAAGGGGCGGGCAGAGCTCGGAAGAAGGATAGTGCAAGATATCTAACCTTCTGACTCTGAGACGGTTTATATATACCCTCAATATAGCTATTATATACCCATTATACATCGGGAGGACGAAATTTTTGACCTACTGGGCCTTTCTTGTGTTAAGGCATCTTGCGGAGTAGCGGAGTAGCGACAAGTGCGATTTACGTGGCCTGGCCAGCGGAGTATTTTCTACCCCGTTTTAAAATTATACTACTTTAATGTTCCGGAGGAGTAACCGGTGGGTCCTGTGCGCTAGGAGTCTACGGGGGAATGGGGGCCTGTCTTGGACGAAAGAAGGAATAGGTCAAACTTTCGTCCTACCGTAGTATAGCCCATTATAGGGTATGGGTCCCCAATAAGGGTATAGGGTCTAGGGTGATGTCGAAACTTCTGTAATCCTACTGAGCAGGGAGCTCGTCCCGACCTTATGCATCATCATCGTGATCTTGATCCTGATGATGACGGTAATGATGACTACTCTCAGCAGGATCATAGTGGAAGGTCAGTCTTGGTGGTGGTATTTTTCCAACGTGTGTTTGCGGCCTGGGGTTTTTGGAGTTGCGGATTGTGTCGGCAAGTGCGAAGTGCAGGACGCGCGAATCTTCTACTTCGAAAACAACTGGGAGGAAGAGGAGCAAGCACGATGTGTTTGTGAATTGAGTGGTTTTGGTTCCAGGATTCCGGCGCAAGGAAAGCCAAACCTGTACCGATCCTGAAATCTAAGTCCGAATGTAAGCAAAAAGCCCTGACGGTTATGCGTATGCCCCGAAGTTAGACTTGAAGGTATGGCCCAAAGCAGGGTTGCATGAAGTCTGATGATCAATTTAGGGCTTTGGAGTTTGTGAATATAGCGTCGGCAGTCGTCCACTAATTCTGAATACGCTGTATTCAGAGGCGTATTCAGAGGCCTTGGAGTAGGGAAGGGCCTGCCACACTGCCACGTCCTCCACTAACACCCATCTGCCCTCGGTATTTCTGTGTAAGATAGATGTCAACTAGAATAGGGCACGTTAGGGTTATACTGTAGTAAATTTAGAAGTAGTTATACTCAGGAACCCAAAGATTATTATCGGTGCGAATGACAGCACAACAGGTGGACGATGGCTGGGAGGCGTTTAGGATTCCGCCAGACAATATTGTTGTCCGGGTTGTTGACAGTTCTTGTTCGGATTTCAGAAGGTCCCATCAAGGGTTTCATGATGTTGTCCAAGGCTTCATAGAGGTTCCACGGGGGTAGCTTCTTTCGGCGGATACCAAACTCCTGGACAAACTCAGACCTACCCCCTAAACCCTAAAACCCTGAACCACAACCCTTAAAAACAACGTTTCTTCCTCGCAGCCAGGAAGCGGTGCGTGACCTCATGAAGCAGGCAGCACAGCAGCCCTTCGAACCTCTTAAGGAGGCGCTTCGGCTCTGTAGGACTTTACCATACTGTTACTAGGTTACTTCTCTTCCTCCCCCTCTTTCTAACTAGCTGTATAGGGCTTTTGTGATATTGTAGAGTTTTCCTTCTTGAGGAAGAATGGGTCCTCTTAAGTGTTTCAGAGGCATCAAATGGCCAACCTGGATATCGCTCGCTGCACCCTCTGCCTTTTTGAAACCAGAAGACCTATGGCCCCGTGTCACCCGCAACATCAAAGCCTGAAATAATCCCGAAGCACAAAGGCATGAGACGGTCGTGCCTCCAGTCCTCATGCATGGGCAAAAGTGGGTCCCTTTTCCGCGGTTTAGGGCTTACGGTTGCGAGTTGGGTGAGCATATGGGTAACTTATGCGCTTATGGTTGAGAGCCAGCGAAAAAGGAATCGGGCTCGAGGATTTCAGGCCAACGGTTCGTGGGTGACACGTATCATAGGGACCCTTAGAGGGACAGGGGGAGGGGGGGGTAGGGGGCCGTAATGCCCATCCTTATCAGGCCTATGGAAGCAAGTGTAGTCCCCTACCCCCGTCCCGCGTACCCCCCTAAGGTAAAAGCCAGCAAGTTGGAATATGATTATCCTAACCCTTCTATGGTAAATTATAGGGTATCCTACCCTGAAACCATATTCCAACTTTCTGGAGTTCCCTTTAAGGGTCCCTATGAACGTAGGGTTTCGGGTCAGGTGTAGGGTTGAAGGGTTTTCGTGTTTGGGGTCTCAGTCTCGGCCGTTTTGTTTTTGAAATTCAACCTTTGGCGTTTTGAGCAGGGTTTATAGGGTTTAGGGTTTAGGGCTTATAGGGCTTAGGGTTTATGGGGTTTAGGGTTTAGGGTTTATAGGTCTTAGGGTTTATAGGGTTTAGGGTTTAGGGTCTGATGTCCATGCAGGGTCTAGTGAGTCTTGTGGGACATGGCCATGCGTTTTCCTGCACAGCTGAGCACTGAACTACTAGGAATCTGAACAGCAAGCGTGTATGGATTCACAATCACACTTGCTTCATGCACTGCTCACTTCTTAACTTAACCTTTGGAGCATTTCGCTTTGGGACCGGGCAGGAGGCTGCGCGAGACGCCATGAAGCAAGCAGCACAGCGGCCGACTGAATCACCCAAGGAGGGCTGCGGACCTTTAGATGTTTCTACGGTTGATGATATAAATCCTGCATTACCCACAATAAGGAATATACCATAATTCCCATAGCTTAGGGTCCTTAAGGTCATGCAGGATTTCTATCGTCAACCGTATCAAGCCATATCAAGATATCAGGTTTGAGTTGCCACGATTTGTTTATTCCGTGTAGCATGGGCCATACAATTCCGAAGCACTACAACCTAAACCCTAGACCCTATACCCCAAACCCCAAACCCCAATCCGTGCTGCGTATGGGATCCTGCGGAAGGCTATTTAGAATTTCCGGGGCAAGGCCAAGATCACCCCTTTAGACAACACTCTAGGTTCACCACCCAAACCTGGTGCGACTACAGATTTCAAAGCCCGCTTGATGACGGACCCAAACCCTAAATCCTAAACCGTGCGAAAGCTAGGCCAGTGCGATTGGGACAAATTCCGAGAACATGCATGGCGAAGATCACATTCGTCTTGAAACTCTGCGCTCCGCATCACACTCATTAATAAGGAGTCCCCACGAAGCAGGAGTTTCGAAAGCAGGGGAACCAAGTGTAGATATACGGAACCCTAAATCAAGCATCATATAGTACACACTCTACCTACCTTTCCAATGCCAGAAAGCACCCTACAAACACTAAAATTAGTCATTGCAGCAGCCCTCAGTCTCTGAAGCCCTAAGCCCAAAAGCCTAACCCCCCCCCCCCCCCCCAAGAAGGATCTGTCCGAGCCCGAGCGGCTGCTTGCCAGGGAGCTGGCGGTGGAGGCCGAATCTTCGGTAGCCTTGGACCATCCGGAAAGATCGGATAAGGGGCTTAGGGTTTAGGACATGCCCAAAGTTCCCAATACCATTTAATTAAGGAATATACCTTACACTATAAGGGGATTCATATTATGATCTAAGCTATATTCCTTCATTAAGGGGTATTGGGCTCTTAGGGTTTGGGGGAAGGAGAAAACAGGGTTTAGGAGTTCAGGATTCACGATTCTGGATATTGGGTTTCGGTAATACAGGGTTTTGGTTTCTTGTTCCAGGTTCAGTGTCCAAGGGCTGTGCAGACAATTCGGTTTTTGGCCTGTGGCGTTTCGGGTCGATGAGTTCAGAAGATTGGCTGCGCTCTCTTTGCATATTTAGGACTAGGGGCTCCCTGTTCGGAGCAAAAATACCCATGTGCATACCAAGGCTCGTCAGAGAGGGTCTGGTATTCGATAGAAACTTCTGGTCCCTCGGAGCATCCATGGGAGGAGCCATGCCCACATGGGTGGTTGTCAAAATTATGGTCCCTTTTTGGGTACCCTAAATACTAGGTGCCGTTTTATATTAAGAGCCCAAAAAGGGGACAGGGACCATAATTTTGACAACCACCCACATGTCGTCAAGGCTTTAAGCCGTAAGGTCAAGGATGTCGAAGCCATCCGAAGACAAACGCCATCAGAGCAATCGGCACACGGCACGAGGAGTGTGAGCTCCGAGGTTCCATGCGATAGCACTTCCCGGCAATAGTGCCTGGCGGTGGATCAGCTTCAAAGACGAATTTTTCACAAACCCCAGGCCCTAAGCCCCAAAGCAAAAAGGAGCTTCGACCCTACGTCTCTTGCTCAGGAACTCGATCCCAATGAGACCTTAGACTAGCTTCGGACAGTCACAGACCATTGCAGACACATCCTCCCTTGATATTCTTGCAAGCACGTCAAGGCAACGCTTAGATGCTGAGTGCTGGACTCAGGGTCTTTCTGAGTCTTTCCTCTCAACCTAAGCTCTGAATGGCCCTGATCCGAAGCCCTACAGCCCAAACCCTACTCTGAACGACCAACTCCTACTTTTTGGGGGTCCCTGCAAACTGCATATTGGTGTCTATGATATGACCCTCGAAAACGTGAGGTTGTGATAGCTGAAGGAAAGACAGTGTTTCTTTGAAGCAGGGTTTGAGACTGACTGTGGTCTTAAGGCTTAGGGTCTAGAGTTTAGGGATTCAGGGGGAGGCCATTACCCTAAATCCTAACTCTTAGGGTTCAGGAGTGTCTTGATTGCTGCAGGTCCTGCCTCGCGGAGTGTCCAAGTCCAAGGCCAGACGGCCACCTCGCGATGCCCCTGCCGAGGAGTGATGTTTTGGTCTATGCAAGCGGGCCAGCCAATGCTACACTCCGAGAAAGACGACAATCAAATCTAAGCCCTGTATCCGATAATGAATTCTACACCTACACCCTTAATGCCGGGACCGCCGGGACCCTAAGCCCCTATACCGTAGAATGGATCTTGATTCAAGATTGAAACATTCCGAACGACGATTCCTCATTTCTTCGACCTGGCCTCCTCCCCCCCCGTCAGGACGTCAGCATCATGATTGCTGGGTTTAGGGTTTAGGGCTTGTTTCGCCAAACAGAAGACTAATGTACTCAGTATTTGTTGTGGCTGTAAGTTAGCTCGTGTTCTTCATTCATACTTTTTGCAACGACTTATTGACTTGCCTGTTACTGTGTCTTCTGCTTTATTCAGTTATTGACTTATTGTCTTACTCACAGTTGAAGTTATGTGTTTCTGCATCTACTTCTTGAGATGTTCCACGGTTGTTGTTTTTTGTAGTTGTTGTTGTTGGTGGTGTCGTCGTAGCTGCTGTTGCTGCTGATGTTGTTCCTGCTGCTGCCTTCCTGCTATGGTATCACTGGACCCGGAACCACCCTAAACCCTAAACCCTAGACCCTAAACCCTAATCATTGGAACTGGAGGCTACTGCCACGGTCCGGGGCCGGAGCTCGAGTAAATCGAAGGCTCCTAGGGTTTGTATCTACGAACCTTCCAACAATCAGCAAGTTTCACATGGCCATGTGGTCATGTCTGTGACATGCAGTCAAGAAATCCGGCTAGCAAAACTACGCTGATCTGTTGTCTTGCGTGGACTTGCCCAAAACATCTAGACAAGCAAGGAGATGGTCACATCAGAAGGCATGACAAATTGAACCAAACCAAGTCATAGCATGTTGCACCAATTTATCATCTATTTTGCCTTCTTTGTCGAGCTTGCATTCGAAAGTCCTGTTACACCTGTACGACTATACAAGTGATTTCGTGGGAAATACGGCCTTACCTGTGTCTGTAGTGTAGGCAACTCTAGACCTGGTCCACGGCGATGACAGCCCCGGAGACGTTAAGGAAACATCGTGCCAGAAACATATCGTCATGCATGGCTTTGCACATGACCTTGCATCGCCCACGACGCATCGAACAATTGACTTGCCCGCGAGGATTTTTCGGCTTCAGAGTCGACGTCACTGACAATACCCCATGCCAACGGTACTTCGGGGGCTCGGGTGGATGTGGGTCACCCGGAGGCGTACCCATTGATCCTGCAAGAACTCCGCGGATCAATGCAGGCCGCTCCGAGGGGTTGGGGTTTAGGAAGTTCAAGGCTAAACCGTCCAAGCTGCACCAACCCCAAACCCTAAGACCCTAAACTATCGGAGCCCCTGGCTGCAAACGCTAACACACCTAGTACTTCCCGCCTTCCCGCGCTCAGCGGCGACGTCAAGTGCGGAACAACCAGAAGTTTGCTGGGCTGGCGAGTTCCACAATATGGGAGTTTCCGAAAATAGGGGTACCTTTTTTCGGGGTCCTTATAATAAGGATCCTACAATTTAGGGTCCCCTATTTTCGGACACCCCCATATGGGGGTTAGGGGTTTAGAGTTTCGGTGTTTCGGATTGCCGGATCCGACATTCGAGTGGGATGTTCAGCTCGGGCTTTGGAGTCTGCAGGCTCGTTGATTTTACCATGGTGGTAGAGACGAGCCCGAGAGAGAGAGAGAGCGAGAGAGGTATAATAATTGCAGGGCATATACATACACATATGCATATTTACACATATGTACACGTACATCTATTTGGTCTAGTTTTATTTCAAGTTTGGGCTAGAGTCATGCTTGCAGGACGAGCGCAGTCTTGTCTTTGGGGGGGCCCAAAAGAGGGGATCCTGTTTTGGGCGGTTGGGGTTTTGAGACCCGCGGCTGATTGGATTTAGGGTTTAGGGTTCAGGATTTCGGGTTCAGGGTTTAGGGTTCGGGGTTTAGGGTTCAGGGTTTAGGGTCTGAGGTTTGGGGTTTAAGTTTCAGGGTTGGTACTGTTGGTATTAAAAGTCGCTGTTCGTGGAGGTGCGTTGACGAGTCTTCGTGCTCCATAGCATGCAATACATACAACAGAAGATACAGCTGCTTACGTCCTTCCTGGCTGCTTGACGTACTCCAAGTAAGGCCTTAACCGGAAACCCTGCTCTCACTTCCACTTCTGGCTGAGGGATGGTTGCGTTCAGGCTAAAGCGTCAACTAGGGGCCTCAATTGCTAGAATTGGGCTGATTATGGGTATATGATATTAAAACTATAAGAAGGAACCCCCAAAACCCTGTTCTGTTTATCATAGTATACTACACTTATAATCAGGAACCCCCCGCAAAACCCTGTTCTAGTCATCAAGGCCCCTACCTTAACACCAAGCCACTTGTTGCCAGTCCCCGCAGGTCGATGCCTACAACTGCGTGGCCATTCTTCAGGAGTTTGCGGCTCGAAGAACTAACCTTTGGTTAGTAGGGAATGGAGGAATGGGGTACAATTATTACTACTATTAGTACCATTCTTCCATTCCCTACTAACCAAAGGTAAGAGAAAGGCTTTCAGCCGGAGGATCCCTGAACAGAGGGCGTAGGCCAGCGAAATCTGCGAAAGAGCCTCCAAGCCCAACTTCGTTAATCCTCATCCTGTACAGGGGATCATCGGGTTTCATGAGTAGGGGTGTAACGCTTAGGGTTTAGACCCCTATCGCCGAACTGCAATGCCCTTGAAACAGAAACCTGAACACCAAGCCCTACTTGGAGGATCAGGGGACTTAGTAAGTATGGTTATAAGTATCCTAATTGGGGTTATAAGTAATTATAAGTATAGTTACCGTATTTATAACCTTAATTACTAACTCCCATAATCCTTTAAGTAATCCGTGAACCTCTCAACCCAAAGGTGGAGCGCAGCGATAAACCAGCTTTTCCGATTTTTGCCAGAGAGGAGGCCGCTGGCAAAGGGGTTGGGGAGGCGTGGTGTAAGGCACAGGGGTTTTGGTGTAGATTATTGCACGGTTTAAAGTCCTAAACCCTAGTGCAACCCTAAACCCGTACCCAGAACCCTCCCCAAAAAAAAGGGTTTCAGGTTTGGGGTCAAGCCTGGAGCCATAGACCTGCGGCCTCTTGAGTGTTACCATCCCTGTTCTGATCCCTCTTGTCACCACGTTTAGTGCTACTGATCCTTGCGCAGGTCTTCATCTCACTATACACTACTGTTGCCCGGATGTTAACAGGTGCGGAATTGCTAGCAGTTGTGGTCGTCGCTGATGCCTTCATGACCTAGTCCTGTTCCGGCTAGTGGCTCTTCGAATAAGGGTCCCTCAGCACGACCCCGGTTTTGAAAAGTCGAAGCCCCTAAACCCTAAACCCTACGACCCCGGTTTTGAAAAGCCGAACCCCCGCCCGTACAAGGTTCCACGATCGGTCAAGTCTTGGCCTTAAGCCTGAAAAGCCCTACAAGCATGACTTAAACTACCTAAACCCTACCTTAACCCTGAATACCCAATCTTTTTCCGGACTTATATAAGCAAATCATAGAATAAGGACCCCTAGAAAGCTAGGTTATTCAGGGTTAGTTAAGGTAAACCCCAAAGTCAAGGTAAACCCTAGCTCGTGAAACTACGAAAGCCCGGACTCCTCACGCCTAGCAGGACCGAGGCAGAGAGCTTTAAACCTAGCCCTTAAGCCCCAAAGCCCTTCAGTAAGGAAGGGTTTTTAAAGGGCTCCTTAAAGGGATCTATAGACTTCCTTAAAGGGATCTATAGGGTTTAGGGTTTAGGCTCTACTTGGAGGATCCAGGGACTTGGTAAGTATGGATACAAGTACCCTAATGGGGGTTATGAGTAGTTATTAGTTACCTTATTCATAAGCCTAGTTACTAAGTCCCATGATCCTTTAAGTAGTCTAAGCAAAGCGGAACCCTACGAAAGCCAGAAGGCTGCCCTCATACATAAGGGCTTAGGGTTTGGAGTTTAAGGTTTATTCTCAGGGCAGCAGCAACAAACAACCTTGGATTGTAGTTTCTGCGAGGAGAGAACTATAGCAACCTGCAATATGAAAAGATATCCAAAGAAGGAACACTGTACAACATCTTGACATGTATGTACCGATCTGGGGGGTTGTTGAATCTACCCAGTTCGGGTGCTTGTGTCTTCTGATGCATCGGCTACGTCCCCTTTGCTGCATCACGGTCAAATGCCCTGCTTAAAGGATCATGGGACTTAGTAACTTGGGTTGTAAATACACTATACTTATAATTTCTTATAACCCCTAATACTTATAACCTTACTTACCAACTCCCCTGATCCTCCAAGTAATCCTGAAGCTCCCAATCCTGCGCTCCAACTCCCCTGCCTCACACTCCAACCTCGAACCTGAAGCGTGAGATCGGCAATTATTGATAAGGTAACTATACTTGTACTTACAGTACTGGGTTGTCCTTTGGGATCTTTTTTTATTTTCTCCCGACCATTTTGTAGATAACAAAATAGTAAATAATTGTCAAAGGGCTTGAAGGACAACTCAGAATACTTATAACCCAAATTAAGGTACTTACGGCCATACTAAGTCCCCGGAGGTTCCAAGTAGACCAGACCCCCTCTCGTCTTCGCCTTTTCTCGCCAGGGCATTATCGTCCGGTGCGCGGCACCTACGAAACCGGAGATCGCAGTGACCGAGGAGGAGGTGCCTGAAGTAGGGGCCTAAACAAATATGGGAGTTTCCGAAAATAGGGTACCCTAATATAGTACCCTAAATAGTAGGATCCTTATTATAAGGACCCCAAAATAAGGTACCCCTGATTTCGGAAACTCCCATATGAATACTATCTGTATAATTTGATGTCTAATCGCTATTTAGGGGCTCCTTAATCAAAGCCGTATTATTTGAAGTCTAATCGCTATTTAGGGGCTCCTTAATGAAAGCCGTATTATTTGAAGTCTAATCGCTATTTAGGGGCTCCTTAATGAAAGCCGTATTATTTGATGTCTAATCGCTATTTAGGGGCTCCTTAATGAAAGCCGTATTATTTGAAGTCTAATCGCTATTTAGGGGCTCCTTATTGAAAGCCCCAACAGCACCAGAGTTTGCAATCCAGAGCCCAACTACCGAGAAGCCAGGAAGAATAAGTCCACAAATGCAACAGCCAAACCCCTAAACCTCTAAACCCCTAAACCCCTAAACCCCGAAACCCAAAACCGTGTACCCCTAACCAAAGGAGGCTTCCTGCCTTAAGAAATTAGAATAGGGTTTTGGGGGTGTTTGGTACTACAATGGAGGGGCTTTGAGGCTGTAGTCTCTGCGGTTGTTCATTGATCAAGAGGAGGTTGCTTTTTGAGGGACCTTAATGGCACAAAGAAGCACATACTACAGTATGCTATAGAAGCTGCCCCCACCCTGTAATAGGGGTATAATAGGAATATAATAGGGCCCTAATATAATCCTATATAATCCTTAAGGTCACTATTACAGGGTGGGGGCAGCTTCTAAAGTATGCTACCTTAGAGGAGCCCTCGCGACCGCTTGTCCTTTCAGGGTTTAGGGTTCAGGGTTGCTCTTTGTCTGGACCCGCTTTGCGATCCTCTCAGGAAGCCGATCCTCTGCATGCAAGACCCGAAGATTCGCCAATAAGGGGCTGAAAGTTGGGGTCGGAGTGCAGTGACCCTGCGGCGTCTTGAGTGGCAAACAGCACGAGCCCTGTACCGTAAACTTTGTAAAAGCCTACACAGGGACCCAAAGAAACCTCAAAACCCTAAGTCAGCCTGTAGCAACAAGCCCGAAAGCCTCAACCCTAAACCCCAAAGCCTTTGTGTTAAAACCTAATGCCTGAATCCGAGCCTGAGAGGTGGCCGAGTACTGGCGGCAGGCGCGAGCATGCGTTAGGGTAGAGGGCCAAGTTTCGGGCCCAGGGCTTCGTGCGTGACTTTAAGATTCTATAGAAGCTCTTTGGGGCTTTAGGGTTGAGGTGCTTGGGGCTTTAGGGTTGAGGGTCTGGGGTTTGGGGCTTTAGGGTTGAGGGTCTGGGGTTTTACTTAAAGGTTCATGGGAGTTAGTAATTAGGGTCATAAGTAAGGTATCTATACTTATAATTCCTTATAACCCAATTAGGGTACTTAGAACCTTACTTACTAAGTCCTAGGGTTTCGAGGTTTCAAGTCTACTTAGACCCTCAAGCGCGGTCCTCTCCTTGGTTTCTATGGTTCAGGGACCTGGCTGACCAAAAGTCTGAACTACATTTTGAGGGCGTAGGAAGGCAGTTTAGGGTTTAGGGGTTCAGGGTTTAGAGGTTTAGGTTAGGGGTTGAGGGTTTGGAGGTTTAGGGTTTAGGGGTTCAGGGTTTAGAGGTTTAGGTTAGGGGTTGAGGGTTTGGAGGTTTAGGGTTTAGGGGTTCAGGGTTTAGGGCGTAGGAAGGTAGTAAATCCCTTGTAGACCCTACGAAGTCCTTGTACAACACCGTCAAAAGCCAGTGTAAGGCTCGAGCTGCTATTTTAAAGCGCGCAACAAGCTGCGGTAAATACATAAGAACCACGGCAGCAGGGCTTTTGCACACCTCAGCCCTCCTCTGCGCTGCTTCATGACCTGACCACGGAGTGTCTTGGAATTTAGGGGTATCTGTGGGCAACTGACTCAGGGGTCTTTATACGTCCATCGTAGCTCAGATGGGCAGCACAAGTCATGCTCATATTCATAAGCTGCCTTACGGCACGCTTAGTAACCCATCCTGAGGCGTAAGGCCTAAACCCTATGTCCGAGTCAGAATCTGTGTTTTGTCTGGAGTTTGATGGTTTTGGCAGCTAGAGGTTGCATCAAGCGGCCTCAATCGTCAGCCCCAGGAGCCCCTAAACCTGAAGCTCATCTCCAAAATGCTGCGAACCCTCAACCCGAAGCTGTCGGATTTTCGATTTAGGATGTTGCGATTTAGAGATTTAGGTTTTAGGGATTCGGGGATTTCTAGGGTTTAGGAGTTTAGTTAGAGGTTCAGGATGCTAGACCAAGCCGAAGTGAAGTCCGAGACGCCGAGCCCTAAATCTCTGGATCCTGAACATAGACCCAAAGAGGGTTCTCAAGCCGAAATTCCTAAGCCCTGAACCATCCTAAACCCTAGAAAGTTTAGAGTATCCGAAACCCCTGAACCCCAATTTTTCAACCACTAAACCCTAATCCCGCAATCCATAGACCCAAAATGCGGGAGAAGGTGTACAAAGTCCAGCAAAACGCCAACCAGCAGTTGCCAAAAAACAAACCACCACTTGCGAACCACAAGCCCTAAATTTTACACATTGTACAGAGTGGTGTTCGTGCGCACATTTGTCTGGCTGTCCAACTTTTTCGTGGCTGAGTCGGCCGCATGGTGGGGAGTCGCGTCACTTGTCTGCTTCCTTGCAGATGCTCAAGTGGACCTGTCCATCAGTTCGCTGGTGCCAGGTGACCCCGGCTTGTCGGCCAAGCAGGCGGCGCTTGTTCCTCCTCATCTCGCGATGCTGTCGCTGCCAAATGCGGTACTGATGATCAGCAAACGAATGCTAATCGAGGCCTTGGGTCTCGTTGCCGTCCGGCGGATTTGGCACTCAGGCTCAGACTGCATGATCAAGCCAGTGCAAGAGTCAGCGTGGGTGCCCGCGGGAGCGCACGTGATCCCGAAACTCCAACACCTTAAAATCCCTAAACCCTTACATCCTCAATCCCTAAACCCTGAACCTGGAACCCGTAGGTCTCCAACAACTCCGGAGAAAGTTCAATCTTCGACTTCGTACACTGGCTGGATCCTGACCGATACCAGCGTGGCTTGTCTTGGGGTTTATGGCTTAGGATTTCCGGGTTCAGGTGTTGAGGGGTTTAGGGAATGACGGGAGTAAACGGCTTCTCAGGATTCAGGTAATTCGCTCTAGCGCTCTTGGGTCCACGGCTTGGTAATCATTCAGAATATGTCGTCGTTGATCCAAAATGTACGTGTTTTTGAGAAACTCACACGTCTGAATCCTTTGATACTCATCCTAACGGAAAGGAGCTGCTTGAATTGTCGAACGAACCGCTAGCGTCGGAAGTTTCTGCACGAATGCGGTTCGGATGTCCTTGACCTGTTAGCTTTTATTTTTATCGTCAACAGCGGTCTTCAGTTCTGTTTGAAGTATGAACTTCACTTCAAGGTTCAGGGCAAAGGAGCACCAAAACTAGACTGCACAGCTTGCTGTCCGTTGGCATTTCTTCATGGAGAATAACGGCGAATACGGTTAGTTACTCTGAATCGAATTGGGGTCCCCGTTCAGGTTCCAACGATAGTGCGGCAACTTTATAAACAAAGAAGCCTGAAAGGGACCCTAATTTAGAGAACTACCCATGTGCAAATGCTCGGACAAGCTTGATTTTTGAACTTGGTGTTCTAACGGTGGTCTGGCGAGAAACCCGGAGACTTGTACAGCAAGGAAGGAAGTTTGCCGAAGTTGTAGGGTTTGAGGTTGAAGTTTCTGTATGCATATTGCTGCCAGGCTTCGGTTTCGTTCCTGCCTTGCTGCGGGAAACATTCAGGAATCAACAAACTAGAAGCCGCAATGAAACCTTACGCGGCTTCTGTCAACCCTCATTCTCTAAATCCTCACAGCCTCAAACCTTGACTCTAAACGCCCTCTCTTTTAGTTGATGCCCTGAATCCTCGATTCTACATCCCAAGCTTCCCTAATCACCGGAGATCTTCGAAGGATGGTCCTGGGATGAAACGCAACAGCATCGCTTTGCCATGGTGGTGGTGTTGCTCGGCTCGATGATGCTCTGGTCTGGTACTCAAAGGATCAGGGGACTTAGTAATTAGGGTTATAAATAAGGCATCTACACTTATAATTACTGATAACCCTAAGTAGAGTACTTATATCCTTACTTACTAAGTCCCCTGATCCTCCAAGTGAGGAGATGAGGATTTGACGGCTCCGGCTTTATGCAGGTCCATGGCTGGATCTTAAACCCAAAGCCTGAACCTGAGCCCTGTACAGGCTTAAAGGGCCTGCATTTTAAAGACTCCTATAGGAGTGGGCACTTTAAGTTTATGGTTTAGGGTTTCGCTCGGTGTTCTCAGAGCATGACCCTCAAATTGGAAAGCTGCAACAGGGGCCTCACGTCTCACTAATATAGGGGCTTAGATATTCACCAGTACTGCTTAGGGGCTCCTATCATAATCATAGCGCTCTATATATATATATATATATATATATGCCCCAAAGCCGTACTCTCCTGAACTATTAGCTTCATCTATTGGGTTTAGGTGCTCAGGGCCTCATTAGTGGTTCAGATCTTTTTGGGGGTTTAGGGAATTTGGGTTTGGGTTTAGGCTCTTCGAACACTAGAGTCACTAGAGCTCCACACATATTTGTTGCGAAGATCAAAGTCTCCTTAGAGGATCAGGGGACTTAGTAAGTAGGTTACAATTGGGGTTATAAGTCCCCTAAGTGGGGTTATCCTAATTATAACCTACTTTTATAACCTTACTTCCTAAGTCCCATGAGCCTTCAAGCAGGCCCTAAACCCGAGAAACAAGCGGGAGGTTTTAGGGTTGTGCAGGACGGTTTTGGGTTTAGGGTTCAGGTTTTAGGGTTTATTTGGAGTTACTTTGGGTTTCTTGAACCTGAAACTGTGAAGCCGGAAGTTGTTACATAACGTAGCCCTGAAAAAGCTGGGTTTGGTTCCAAAGGTTTTGGGCAGCAGCACACTCGTAACGGAAACCCAAAGCCAAACATAGACGTGGAACACATTCAGGACTCGCAAGCCCGTCGTGCCTGTACAGTTATGCTGAAAACATGTGCAAGACCTGTATGATGATAGTGGCAGAAGCAATTCAGGTGAGATACAGGGTTTAGGGATTATTTCTGGTTAGAGGAACATTTTGCTGCAGAAAGGAACTGACGGTTAAACTGTTCAACAATGGGCACACCGCCCTTTGCAAAACTGCCTTTGCATCTCCTTGACTATAGACCTGAACTGGCAGAAGCCACTATTTCGTGCCACCGTCCATACTTCTATATCAGTGTTTGCAAAAGTCAAGAAGACACCACCAAACAATGCCACCAACACGTACCTTCTTGCCGGATCCCCATTCATACGATTTTTCAGGCTGTTGAATGAGACCCTACTTAAACGGCCGCGCAAGTTTCAGGTTGTGCATATCGGGGTTTTTCTGGCCCCGATGCTAAAACCCTGGTACGCAAGACCCCTTAAAGGAATCATGACAGAACCCTTTATCGTTAATTACCCTGCTCTCTAATTGTTAAGGCTCCTCTTTACTAGACCCTAAACCCTAAACCCTAAACCTGGACGAGGGGCAGACATAAAAAGCAGCTCAAAAAATGAGTTCGAGGTCCCGCCTGGCACAGGATTCGCAGCTTGAGGGGCGAAATCGGCGACTCGAAGCATTTGTAAGGGTTTTTTTTTGGGGGGGTGCGGGGGAGATTAACCCGCTTTACAACCAGAATCCCTACTTTACAACCAGAATCCCCACTTTACAACCACAGACACTGTTTTTCGTGTGAGAATCCCCACTTCACAACTGCCGATCGTGAGAACGCCCACTTTGCAACCCGTCTACCCATGATTAAGACTTATTGGGATTTCATGAGTTTTTTACAACAAACCTACCTAGATTCCTAATAGTTTGTTGGTTCTTTGACCCCCTAAAGTGTTTTACGTGGCCTTCATCCGACCGTGGCCCCAATCTACTAAGATCTCGAACATCCCTAAAATTGCTTCGTCGCATGATATCTTTGATCTTTGTCGTCTGTGGGTGCTTCTGTGCGCCTGGCTGGAGGCAAAGCAGTAGTTGAGGGCTGCTCCGGATTATATGCACCCGAACCCTTGTTTAGAATATGCACCCGAACCCTACGCCTTAAACCCTAAGCCTTAAACCCTTGTAAAGCCACTAGGTTTAGAATATGCACCCGAACCCTACGCCTTAAACCCTAAGCCCTAAACCCTCGTAAAGCCACTAGGTTTAGCATATGCACCCGAACCCTACGCCTTAAACCCTAAGCCCTGAACCCTCGTAAAGCCACTAGATCTAGAACCCTAACCACGCTATCCTTGCACACTATACCCGGCCCGCAAATGCTACAGAACCCGTATGGGAACCCCGTACTGAACTTTCTACTGCAATAACACTATATCCTGTCCTATATCCTACATTAAGATGAAACCCCAAACCCTCACGCATCTAAATATATATATATATATATATATATATATATACATATACATATACATATACATATACATATACATAGACATAGACATAGACATATACATATACATATACATATACATATACATATACATACATACACACACACACATATCTATCGTGGTTTCGGGTTAAGAACAGAACGCCCACATTGCAACCAACATCACTTTCCAACCTGCATGGCTGCCGTAAAGGATGATGCTAGAGATTCTAGGCTTTGACGTTATCAGTTAATAGGGTTGTTAAGAAGCTTTCCCAACCGGTTGCAAAGTGGGGATTCCGGAAAGGCTCATGGGTTGTAAAGTGGGGGCTCTGGTTGTAAAGTGGGGATTCTGGTTGTAAAGCGGGGTACACGCGGGTGCGGGGGGGGGGGGGGGGGGGGGGGGGGGGGGGGGGGGGGGGGGGGGGGGGGGGGGGGGTTGTAGGGTTAGGGTTTAGGGGTTTTTTGGGTTTATAGGATTTGTACGATTTGTGGGGTTTAGGAGTTTCAGTTTGAGGGTTTAGGGAGGGGCTCTGGCTCCGGGTTCCGTGGGATTTGGGTATTGCTCTTAGCTAAACCCGATGCCTTGAAGCACCTGCAGGCCTTCGCAGGTCAGCTCGTTCAAGACAGCTTTACGTCGTAGTGTGTCTGTCCAACCTTGGCAGACCATCTTGCAGACTGCCTTGGTGAGCATGGCAGGTTTTGTGTATGCCTAAGCCTCCTCGGTAAAGGTTGCAAAAGGCTCAGACACCGCGACTGTGACAACACGAACACTGCTGCAGCATTATGAAGCCTGGTCTTTTGACTGAACCCACTTATGCTGCTGCCCTTCTCCTCCTCCCCTTCGGCGGCGAGTCACAACGACAACGACCACTAGCTGTTCGGATTACTCTAGTCTAGCTGTACATGCGAAAGATTTAGTGATTGCAGCGCCTCGCAGCACACGGCAACATCGATCAAGTTCAACGCTAGCGAAGTAGAATCAGCAGCAGCACGCAGCAGGCATCAACGAGCAGATAACAGATAGCAGCAGCAGGAGGAGGAGGAGTAGTACTAGTGCTACGGCCGTTGATCCCATACTACTACCAGCCTGTCTCACGATCTGTCGAGGCCATCCGATTACGCACTCGGAATGTGGCCGCCCGACAGTCAGGAGGACCCTCTCTCGGGATTGAGGTTCCACAACGCCTGCTGCCAAATCTGTTCGTATCGTCCGGTCGTTAGCTTCCATTGCTTTATATAGATAGGCTTTGACTTTAGCCTTCGTTCAGAAAAAGTTAGGCCCGTCAGCTGCTACGGACGGAAGCTTGTCGAACTTCCGAAGACACTGCTAGACACTTTAAAGACGGTTCAGTTTCCAAGTCTTTGTGCTGAGGATGTTTGGGGTTTTAGCTCGCGTGTCCTGTCACTGCGAGCCTCTCTGCGAGCATCTGCGAGCCAGATGAGCGCCGTTTCCGTATCCACCGTACGTGCATGCCGCAGGGACGGTGATCTGGAGCTGCCCTCATGCTGTCTTTGAGGTTTCGGCCTATAGCCGCTCGAGACTCAGGGCTTCAACATTCTGGGCTGAGAGGGTGGCTTGAGGTTCAGGCGAGGGTCGCCACATGTCGGATGAGAATTTCATTCTGGTCTTGTTGTTGAGGTGGAGATGTAGATTTCCTGTGTGGTTTTCATTCCTTGCAGTTCTGAATTCTGGATGACAAAGCTTGAAGACACAGAAGGTTCAGGGTGCCCGGGGCCGTGGGGTGTGAGGCTTGCGACTGGATGCAACGGCCAACAGTGACCTAGCGCACTTGCCTCAGCCGGACGAATAGATGCTGTAAAACTGTAGGAACCATCGCCGCACTCGATAGAGGACCACCGCCACTGGCGACTGCGCAGTGTGGCAGCATTTCCCTGTACGCAACGCTCAACCAAACTCAAGCCCAAACCCGGAGCCCCGTGGCTTTCTACAATCCGAAACCTAGAGAGAACCCGACAGGAGAGGAAGGATCCCTTCGACGAGAACGACCCCTGGATGGACGCGATCCATACACGCAACGGCGACAAGGTTCCCTCACTGGATCCTCGAAGTGAGTTGAAACAGCGCTGTCCCACGAATCTGTCAAGTGCAAGTGCACAGATACAAGCACCTCAACACAGCATAGAGTCTTCATTGTGGATCGCTGTATATTGTTCTTATACTGTTGAAGATCTTAGAGCGACAGGCTTGGAACAAAGACCCCTTCGACGAGAACGACCCCTGGATGGACGCGATCCATGCCCGCGACGGCGACAAGGTCCCCAATAGGGTTTCGGCTGTAGGAGTTGGGGGGCTGGCGAGGTAACCGGTAGCGTAATCTGGTTGCAGTCTGTATGGCATTACGACAACTCATTCCTTGTCCTTTCATTTACGCAGGAAGCTCAGTGACTATGTAGTTGAAAGCTGCCCCAGGTCACTTGTGCACCTGCCCCAATCCCTAAACCTTAGCTTTTTTCCCCCGAGCGCTACCCTTAATCCTATAAGCAAGCCGGCAAATTAAATCTGTTCGGGCAGCATCAGAATTGCTCTCAGGATAGCACTACCGCCTCGCGCCGACAGTACTCGTGGCAGCAGCAATCGGTGACTTGGCAGAAGATTTCAGGGACGACAGAAGCCTGAATCATTATTTGCATGTCGGGCTGTCGGGGTACATTGCACCCCAAAAAGTGCCCCGAGGATTTTTTGCCAATACCATTTCGGGGGCTCATCATATTTACAGCATGATCGGCCCCCAAACCCTAATTGTTCTGGTCATTAAGGCCCCTAAATAAAAACTCTTTCACACGTCGTTCGGATACGCGTCGGGCTTCTCAGGGACCTAGCCCGAACGTAGACCCCAAGACCGTGAGCACGAAAGACACGCAAAGAGGGCAGGCCTTAATGTTTAGAGTAACAGTAACGGGCTTGGAGCCATAGTAAGGCCACCGAGATCCACCGAGGTTTGCATGACGCCCCAGCCTTGCGCAACCCTCCTCTTGTGCTACCGAGAGGTCATGCAGGGCCCATGGAGATGCCAATGAATTACTGTCTGGGTAGTTCTCTAAACTAGGGTCGCTGTGTGGCTTTACGGGCTTTGCGACCGTCTGGCCAAGGTGGAAAAATGGGAACCTTGCAACTACCGAGTTACCGAGCTACAGACCCTTATTGAAAGAACATCATAGTATATAAAAGCATATGTTCGTATGCTAGTTCGCGCTATGTACGACGCTAGCAACAAGATCTATCATGCTATGATATAAACAACGCGAAGTCTCCGGGAACAACGATACAAGTAACAAGAAACACAATACGAACATAATTAGCTGCATAATGTCAGGCCACGCCTACTCCCATGTTCGAGATCCAAAGCAAAGCATCTGATACAGTGGCTTCAATCAGTACCGATGCTGTTTTGGGGTTTTTAATTCTAGGTATAGCATGACAGGCCCCAAAACCCTATTCTAATTATCTGGCCCCAATATTAACGGCAAGATCTTAGGCCTCAGACTGGAAGGACGAGTCGAATTGGCCCCTGCACTTGCAATGAGGGGGTCAGGGTTTGGGGGTTTAGGGTTTACCTGGACCCCATATAACCTACCTTTCCAGGGTTCTCGAATATGTTTCTTTACATAGGTCCATAACAAGGCAGGTCATTTGGGGTTAGGTAGGGGTTTGAGATTTGGGATTTGCGGTGTAGGCGGTCGTCTAGGGTCTGGAAAGCTTTACTTTCTTTGGCCAACTCCCCTTGTGTCGAGCCCGAGAGCAAGAAACGTTACTCGAAGGCCTGAGTGCAGCAGCCTCCGTTAGGCCCCCCCCCCCCCCGCGAATATTTAGAGATAGTATCCCCTTATAGCCCCAAATCTAGTTAGTGCAATGTACCCCGAGATACTTAGACCCCTACTAGTGTCAGCAGCTGGAAGGTCGGTATCTCTGTTCTTTGATGATCGCCCCGGTGCATGTTGATTGTAGCAGTCCAGTAGCTTTACGGCGGTGCGATTTGTTTGATCACCATCGCAAAAATATCTGAAACGTGTACACGACAAGCACAGCAGCATCGCCTATTGGAACATCGTGAAGTCGTTTTTCAGTCACATCTTGCAACCAGCCCCAGCCACTGTAAATGAATCCTCTAAAATGCTTGGGGTTTGAGGTTGCTTGGAGTTCAATATTGAGGGCTGGTCTGGTTGACTGACTGGCTCAAGGTTGCTTAGACCTTGTCTCACACCTGCAATCTCTTCATGGATTGGCTCGTATGGAACCGCGAACCCCGAATCCACACTGCTAGACTGCACTTCTCAAGATCACTGCTGGACAAATGACGGGGCGTCGTACCATTACTTGGAGAATCAGGGGACTTAGTAAGTAAAGTTAGAGGTTATAAGTACCCTAATTGGGGTTCTAAGTACATATATGGGTAGTTGTCAAAACTATGGCGCCTTTTTGGCTACCCTAAATATTAGGTGCCGTATTATAATACGGACCCCCAAAGGGACAATAATTTTGACATCCACCCATATTTATAGTCACCTTATTTATAACCCTAGTTACTAAGTCCCATGATCCTTTAAGTAACTTGTAGTATCATTCCACTGGACTCCCTGTCTGGCCCTGTCTCACGTACCCCTGAGTTTGGCTAGCTTGTTTGGCGTTTTGGGGCACCGAGGGTAGATCTGCGCGCACCGGGAGGCTAGAAACACCTTTCCCAGACCATGAGAGGAATGCCTATTCAGTACCCTAAACCCTAAACCCTATCTGGGAGGCACTAGCATGGCACGAGCAGTTTAAGCGCAAGGGCTGGCAACAACGACATTCGGGACACGTGGTTTCATGTTGGTTGGGTCATGGCCCTCAGTCCAGAAGCCGGCCCGTGTCCAGGTGGAGTAGTCGAGGAAGTCGCGATCATCGATCCAGCAACACAGAGAGGCAAGTGGACAGTTCTAGCAGTTGCAGGTCTGAGGTTTTCAGCACTGGGGTAGACACACACACGTTGGAATCGGCATGAGTAGAAACACACCCAACACTTTGACTCAACAATTACAATTATTCGCTTCGGTCTCGACTTTCATGACACCACAGCATTAGCGGCAGCACCTTTGTTTGGGACATAATTACCCACAGCAATACCTTTGGCCAGGGACCGTCATTCCTGGTGGCAACGCCAGGGCGGCAGCAGCTGGTGGCAGCAGGCACCAAGCTCTAAACTCCTTGAGCAAGACACCCGCACGGCCGCAACTACTGCTTCCGCTACTAGTCACTCTACTACTAGTGTACAGCCACTACCACCACTACCACCATATTACTCTACTACTGCCACTACTAGTTCTACTACTTCTTTTTACTTCTACTACTACTTCTACTACTACTACTACTACTACTACTACTACTACTACCTCTACTACTGCTACTACTACTACTACTACTACTACTGCTGCTACTACTACTACTACTACTACTACTGCTGTTACTAATTATTACGGCAACTACTGCTGCCACTACGAGCACCACTACTACTACTACTACTACTACTACTACTACTACTACTGTTACTACTACTCCTGCTGCTACTGCTACTACTACTACTACTACTACTACTCCTGCTGCTGCTGCTGCTGCTGCTGCTACTACTACTACTACTACAACCACTACTACTACTACTACTACTACTACGACTACTGCTCCTGCTCCTGCCACTACTGCGACGACGACGACGACTAGTACTACTACTACTACTCCTACTACTACTACCACCGTTGTTGGTGGTGCAGAGATACATTCTTCCTTTGTCTACATTACTATAGCCGCCAGATTGGCTTCATGATCATGCTGCTAGTGGTTAATGAGTGATTTGCTGCTGTTTCTGTGGTCGTGTACGAAAGCTTCGTTGCGCCCAAAGGCCCAAAGTCGCAATAGATGTGATAATGCTTGGTACATGCAGACCAGCAGTTTTCAACTTGCAATGCCATTCCAGGGCTTTGCCCGCAAACTTAACAGTACCCGTAGGCCTAAACCCAAACCGATACCCGGCCTGATTTCGTCCTGTGCTGGGCGTTCCACTCCCGACACCCCGAGCCTTGAATCGCAGGCCCGCAACAGAGTGCCCTGGACTTGAAACCATGCCTGTATGCCCTTTGGCCGAAGTTGTGACCTCAGCCCCGAAAGCTTTGCCAAGTTTCGCCCCTGCTCGCAGGACAATTCCTATGCTCATTGGGATGGTGAGAAGGCTCCTGAAGGATGACGGTAATGATAAAGTTGCCGATAACTAGGAAGAAACTGATGAGTATGCTGGCAAGAACATCATGCGGAAGTTTCTGGAGAGCTTGCAAAATTCATCCGAGAAGAATACTAAGTTGAAGGCTTTAAATCGACTTTACAGTGTTTTGGAGACAGTGCAACGACCAGAAATATCCGCGACATGTGGTAAATTCTTATATCGAGCATGATATTTCGCATCCCGTTTCCGCGGTTTTGCAGTGTGGCTGGTTGTTAGGGTTCAGGGTTTAGGGGGATTGTTGCTACTGTTGCTTACATACGTCCCTGCTGATGCTTGTTGCCATTGTCAGAAATGAGGCCATTTTATTTTACGGATGCCAGCGCAGGTGTTAGTAGACTTGGCGTCGTGTCGACTGCAGCACGCGCACGAGTGTCTCCTGCTATCATCTGCATTTCGTTAGTGGAGGTATTGCTGTTAGTACTATTGCTAGTTTATGCTAGTTAGTAAAAAAAGCCTTGTATTGGTGCCCCCACAAATGTATGTCCGGCACGTTAGTCTGCTCCTTGTGTGCTCCGCAGACCATCACAGCTGTACAGATAAAACCCTACAGAATCAAGTCTCAGGCTTGCTGAATTCCTCAGAACAAGTCTCAAGACCATCTCAGAAAAACCTCAGAACCAGCAATTAATTAGAAGTAGCTGCAGCAGAGACGAAGCATTGTTGGGATTGTGATTGGAACTTTGTGATCAGTCTTAAATGTGCCCAAGCCTGAAATTCAATAGGCCGCTGAGCCTTGTACCCTAAACTTCCCTTAACCCAAGAAGGCCTTCATTCCTGATCAGTCCTAGATTCGCAAACCCTGTGCCCCGGGGTCATAGAACGCAGTAAACCTTCGATTCAACCCTCCACCCCTCAACCCTAAGCCCCTGAACCCCTGAACCCCGAAACCCCGAATCAAACCTAAGCCCATGCCCCAGGGCGGAGATAGCTGGAGTAGGTGGACGCAGTTTGAAAGCCCAGCCCCGAAGGCGAGAAGAGAGCGGGTTGTGTGTCAGAGTTTAGGGCGTAGGGTGTGGGGCAGGGCTTGAGGGGCTTAGGTGCGTAATATAGGGGCTTTTTAAATAAATACCTATACCATATTGGGGCTTCCTTATTATAACTGTAGTATATTGGCCCGCAAAACCCTATTCTAATCATTAAGGCCTCGTTTAAGATTCAGGGTTTACGGTTAGATGCAGGGTTTGGGCCTCGGATTTTGGAATGAGGGAGTAATACTGTAAAACTTTCGAGCCTCAGGGTCTGAATGCTTCAGGTCTGGATCTTGAGTGTTTCGGGGATAGGCTTGAGGGTGTAGGCTTTAGAGCTTAGGGTTGGGGAGGAGGCGGTGTCGACGACTTTTTCGAGATGGTTTCGTGCTGAGAGTTCGAGGTTTACGGGGCGCGATGAAGTGGTGTTTATGAGCTCATTTTTTCAAGTTCTGTGGCTGTCGTTCTGGCGGCGGTGGCGGTGCTGCTGCCGCTGGTGCTGCTGCCAGGTTGTTATGGCTGTTGATGCAGGCACTGTTGCTTGCAGTTGATCTTCTTATTGCCCTGCTGGGAGTTTCCGAAAATAGGGGACCCTAATACAGTACCCTGAATAGTAGGATCCTTACTATAAGGACCCCAAAATAAGGTACCCCTAATTTTCGGAAACTCCCTGCTGGCGGTGGTCGTGCTGGTGATGGACTCGTGTTGTTGTTGCGTGGCTAAGGGCACGGCCGGAGAGGATGGCTTGCTCTCAGCGACGACCTTAAACCTTCAAGCGCGAAAGCAGAGGTTCTGAGTCCATGCATTAAGCACACCCGAAACCCGAAATTTTGAAGGCGGAAGCTGAGAACTCCACTTCAGATCTCAGGCCACGGCTGGGCCGTGGCGTCCGAAAGAGGACGAAGAGTCGGCACGAGGATCCGGAGCCAGGGTTTAGGGGTTAGGGTTTAGGGGTTTAGGGTTTAGGGTTTCTGATAACCTGGATCAGATAGGGTTCAGAAGGTCTTAACTCTTACCATCATGCAAGCGTCCCGTGGGTCGCACTTCGAGAAGTTATGCAAAGGTTCCAATGGTCGGGTACGTTCGATCGTTATCATTGGTACATACATATTGATATGATGATGATGATGATGATGATGATGATGACCGTTACTAGTTCCTTTCTTGAATTCTCAGAACTAGCAATAGCATCAACATCATCATCATGGATGCTGTTATTGTTATTGGTGCTTCTGTTGATATTGTTATTCGTGTTATTGTGGTGTTTATTGTTCAAAGCATTGGTCTTTGGTCATTGGCCTTCGATCTTGGTTTTTGTTGTTGTTGTTGTTGTCGTTTTGTCATCTAGGTACGGCTTTGCGACATTCTATATTTGCTCTTACTGGGCTTCAGAGGATCTTTCCTACCAATAGTTTTCAAAGGCTTTAAAAGCACCTCCTAGTCACTATTATTGTGTTGATCTGTTTAGCTTTGGCAGCTTCGCGGTTGCTTTTGACGGGCAGAGTACCCGAGATGATGAGGCTGAGGGGCGAAGGCAGGGTCGAGTCTATTCTATGTTAACATGCGCAGTTACTCCGAGTCGCGGGGTAAGCTTTTTACCCTGACTTGAAGTCAGGATCAGCAAGCCGCACGCCAGCGGATCGAAAGCGGCGGGAGCCGGAAAAGGTCCGGGGGGCGAAGTATGGGTTGCAGCTCAGGTAGATGTAGAAACAGGGTCACATGGGTGGTTGTCAAAATTAGGGCCCCCTCTTGGGTCCCTACTAGAATACGGCACCTATTATTTAGGGTACCCAAAACGGGACCCTAATTTTGACAATCACCCACATGATCTTTTGTGCAGCCGCAATCGGTTGTCCTGCTTCACAGGGTCTTTGTCGTCGTAGTTGCACCCCTCGCGGGGCCTAGTAGCTATATAAATGATAGACAGTAGACTGTAGTGTGTCTATAGTAGGAATCCTCTATTAATTTGGGAAAAGATACCCCATAGCAGTACCTTTTGGGACCCTTTGTGCACTGTAACCCGGGCCTTCGGATCCAGGCCGTCAGTCTCCGAGCTCAAGATGCTAGTATGGGCTTAGGGATTCCCTTAGGGCTACTTAGAGATATCTTTTTATTTTTGGTTATTAAAAATCCCTAAGAAACAGCTAAAATTGCAATTGTTGCTAGGGTTCTAAGTTCAGTAGAGATTATATGGGTGGTTGTCAAAATTATGGTCCCTTGTTGGGGCTCTTAATAGGATACGGCACCTAGTATTTAGGGTACCCCAAAAAGGGATTCTAATTTTAACAACTACCCATATGAAGAGTTAAGGGTTTGGCGTTTAGGGTGTAGAGTAGGGTTTAGGGTTTGGAGCCTGGGCTTTTGGCTTCAGAGTTTAGGGTTTAGAAGTTAGCGGCGTTCAGGGTTTAGGGAACAAAGTGATACCCCCGAAGCTCTGGCCCAGCATTCCTAGACCCTGTTTGAGAGCCCAATCGAACCAAAATACACAAAGCAAAACAAACGCGCACACACACACACACACAAAGCAGAATCCCCAGATATTCGCAGCCTAGGGAACGTTGCAGAGCATGCATTGCCTTGCGTTGAAGGGTCGATACTCCCAGGGCTCCGGGGCTCTCTTTTTGTCGCGTAGGATCTGGCTTTGACGGTTTCAGAAATCGGATTCCCGGGCTTCGCACGCTTATAGGCCTGGGGTGTATAGGGCCTCAGGTCTGGGGTGTAGGATTTTCTCCCGCGCTTTCAGTCCTGCTTAGTAGCTGGGGTTTTAATGGAGGTAAGTGTACTTCTGACTTCGCATACTAAGTCCTCTGATCCTCTAACTCCCGCGTATAACCCCTTGCAATACCCACATTGAACTAAAGCTCCTTGTTGTACTCTCTTATAACCCTCAAAGTAGCCCCTGTAGTACCATTATGAAACTTGCAAAGGAACCCTTATAGTACCCATTGAAGGAGCCCTAGCGAGATCTTCAGGTCGCCGCAGACTCGTTACCGACGCCCGCCCCTGCCAAGCTAAGCGGCGGAAGCGGGAGCTCCGGCATCCCGGCTACTACTACTACTACTGCTGCTACTACTACTACTACGACTACTACTACTACTACTACTACTACTACTACTACTACTACTACTACGACTTCTGCTTCTACGACTACTACTACTACTACTACTACTACTACTACTACTACTACTACAACTACTACTACTACTGCTACTACTACTACTACTACGACTTCTGCTTCTACGACTACTACTACTACTACAACTACTACTACTACTACTACTACTGCTACTACTACTACTACTACTACGACTTCTGCTTCTACTACTACTACTACTACTACTACTACTACTACGACTACTACTACTACTACTACTACTACTACTACTACTACTACTACTACTACTACTACTACTACTACTACTACTACTACTACTACTACTACTACTACTACTACTACTACTACTACTACTACTACTACTACTACTACTACTACTACGCTACTACTACTACTACTACTACGACTACGACTACTACTACTACTACTACTACTACTACTACTACTACGACTACTACTACGACGACTACTACGACTACTACTACTACGACTACTACTACTACTACTACTACTACTACTACTACTACTACTACTACTACTACTACTACTACTACTACTACTACTTGTGCTACTACTGCAGCTGCTCAACAGAAGAAGTCTAAGTAACCATAATAACAACAACCGGTTCGAATGATAAGGTATAAGGGGGCAGTGAACTTTACCGAAGCGCCCGGCTCGTTAGAAAGCAAAAAGCAACTGCGGGCTTTAACCTGCTTGTGGAATGAGAGCTTCTACAAATAAGACTGTTCCGATCAGAGCGAGCCGGGGCGGGAATTGCAAGTCGGACGCTCTGCATGTGCTTGTTCGTGCCTTGCTGAATTCCATATAAATGTTAGGAAAATTGTTGATGCACTGATTTGGGCAGTCCAACATGTTGCGTTTGCTGTCTTCACTTTTGTAAGCATCCCCAGGATTCCCTGGCCTTGGCTGTTTAAAGGGTTTGCGAATGTGGGGGATTATAGGGGGCTTGAATATAATTGCCTATACTATTTGGGGGGGGTCCTTCTTATAATCATGGTACAATCGGTTCTCATTACTAAGGCGCCTAGTTTAACCCCGTAGAACAGATCATAGCAGTCCCTTGTTGTCGAGCAGAGTTTCAATGCTGCTGCGAGGTGGCACCAAGGACGCCAAGCCTGCGCGGGCAATACTGCTTCTTGTCTTGCACGGGCTTGCTTCTTGGAATAGGCCACTGTTTCGTTTTGCAGGGCTCTAGGCTTCCAGGATTTAAGGGTTTAGTTTGCACGCTTTAGGGGTCCTTGGCTCCAGGGTCTTGGGGTGTAGGGGTGCAAGGGTTTAGCGGGATTCGGGGCTGTTATGGCTAAACAAGTCAGAGGGCTCATACACGGTTTAGGGGTTTAGGGCTTGAGTTTAGGGTTTAGGGAGCGAAAGTTCAGTGATATAGCCCCGGGGTATCATGAGCCATAGACTGACTATGAGCTCTAGGAAGCGCCGAAAGCTCATGTGGACCGCTGGAAAAGCAATCCCTCGCCTCCCCAAAAGCACGATCCCCACTCTATGTCGTTTATATCGGGAACTAAATAATTACCTATACTATTTTGTGGTTCCTTACTATAATTATAGTATAGTAGGACCCAAAACCCTATTCAAATTATTCAGGCCCTTATATTGTTCATATTATTAATGAAGGGTACTTCTACTATGAGCTGTTGTTCGGTGTAAGGGTTTGTCCTGAGGATTGTCTATCCCCAACTTTCGGGGTTCAGCATGTATGGCTTCAGGTTTATCTTCTAGCTGTCACGTAGCATACCCATTAATTCCTCTAACCCCTAATACACGAGGGTTGAGGGGTAAGGGCAGGCTGGCCGATGCTTCTGCGATACAAGGGTACTGTGGCAAGTGCTCTGGGGTGTGTGGGCATCTTTCCATGAGCGGGTTTAAGATGTAGGCTGTTAGTAGGTGCCTGTAATGGAGATCCTGAAATCCACAACCCGCAACCCTACAGTCACTCGGCCATGCTCCGAAACTTGAAAGCAAAGCTCGCTCGAAAACCTTGAACTTGATTTCGGACTTGACTACATCCTTAGTTTAGGGTTGGTTTCAGTTTGACAGGTTCAGGGCTCTGGTTACTCTTGTTCCCGAAACCGGTGCTGTTGCACGGCAATGTATCAGCCAAACCTGCATCGCCCAATGTTATCACTCCGAAGCTTGCGCAGACAAGGAAATATCTGTAAACACTGGCTTGCAATTCCTGTCAGACCTTGTATTGCAAGGCCTTTGGGCTTTAGAGGCCCTATGGCACAACATATATTCGGCAGAGCGGCTGTTAAAAGAAACCGCACTGTGCAGCAGCCTACATACAAAGGAGCAGGAAACCTCCCCGAGTACTTCAAGCATAAACCTGAATCCGAAATCGCTTCAGGAATGAATTCCTTATGGCCTACGCCGGGCGTAACCTCAGCAAAGGCGGGCAATATGCGTGATTACGGTCAGTTATGTCGGTTGAGGCTTCAGTGCTCGGGATGTCTGATAGTAGTCGGAATGCCACTCTCCCACCCTGAAGTTATGAATCCCGAAACCTGGACCTGAAAGGGGCGGGAAGCTTGAGGGACCGAGCTTATACTTATAGTATAGTAGTACAGGGCTTCAGGGTGTGGGAGATTCGGATTTAGGGTGTAGGATTCCGGGTTCAGGTCAGGAGCTCCATCGAAGGATTTTGCAGGTTAGGGCCACATCTCGGAGCCTTTGGAAGATCATCAACATGCACATGCTGTCAGACTACCTAGAAAGGATAATACCCGAAAGAAGGGCCACTTGAACCCAAAGTAGTAAATATTTATGAGCTACCTGCGTTCTGGGCACGGCTCTCGCAACATTCACCCACAAGAATAAGAGCGTTTCCGTGTACAGACAGGCTGAAGCACGGCAACAGGTGCCGGCACATGTTCATGTACATTAGGACATATCAATAGACATCTTCGTACAGTGGCAGTCATCATGCTAGCATCCATGGTGCCAGCTCCGACTCAGCATGTGTGATCATGAATGAGACATCCAAACCTACCTTTCTCACCCTGTGTTGCCATTGTTTTTTCGCTCCAGTACAGCTAGGACGGGGAAACCGTGATAGAACTCGTTGTCCTTCACATGCAGCAGGAACCCTGACTCCAGCTGCAAAGCATCTTGAGAAGTGCTTGCCTCTCAATCCCTCAAACCTAGGTCATAATCCTAAACCCTGGAGCCTTGTGAGGCCCTAAACCCGATTGCTTCCTATCCCGAACACACGGAGCTCGACTCATCGCAGCCAGAAAAGCTCTAGTATTCTGAGCATGCTGCTCCTTGACATCAAAAGGGTAAACACCCGGAGCCTTGAACTGTGAACTCTTATAACCCTTACAACCCTTATTACCCCTATAACCCTTGCAACCCCGTTACAAATCTGAAACTTCATCGTCGGGAGCTCAGAAATCCTCAGCTCCTCAATGCTGAAATCCGAAACCCCTCAACCCCAACACCGGTATGTTTTCAGTTTGTAATTCTGAGGTCTAAAGATTTAAAGGTTCAGGGTTTAGGGTTTCGGGCTTCCATGTGGATACCCTAAACCCTATATCCAAAGACAGGTGACCTTGAATTCAACACGGACGAACAGAAAGGCCGACGGACGCCCGGCGCTTTTTTCAAAAGCTTCTGTTTTGGAGCTCAGGGATTCTACAAAATGCGGGATCTCCTCATGAGTTTTTCCGTATGGGCTGCGTGGTTCTATTCGGGTTTCGGATTTAGAGTTCAGGGTTAAGGCCCGGGGTCTCGGGCTCCGAGTGTTTGGGATGATGATTGGGTTTTTGGGCAGCACGTGACTGTGAATGCTGTGGTGGTTTGGGGTGCTTCGTTTGGTTAGTAAGGCTTTTCTGTTCATCGCTTCAGTGTTCCCCAGCCCCTAAACCCTCAACCCTAACCCCGCCCTAAACCCTTGAACCTAGACCCCTAAACCGGGGTTTGGGCCTGCCATCTCTGGGTTTTTTCGGGATCAGCTTCTTCGGCCTGGTTGTGCGGCTTCTTGCTTTTGAAATTGCTTAACCCCCTACACTAAGCCCGAACCCAACTTAAAATCGCATGTCAAGCGCACCCCCTTCAGGGTTTCGGGTTCAGGGGTTAGGGTTACATAAGGGTCCCACCCAACTCTTGAACAATAGACAAAGCCCCGACGCAGCCGCTGATACTACGGAACCTGCGCCTCTGGGAAAGTCTGGCGAGGGAGGTGCCTGAATGCTACGGTACCCCCAGGCTCCATAGCAGTTCTTTTTTGGGGGCCATATGAAGAATTCTACACGGTAATCCCAATAAGGAGCTAGTATGGAGCCTCTGGGTATAGTAGGGAGCCAAACCCTGAACAGAGCAGCCCTAAATCGCAAGAAGAGTGCAAGACGAAAGCTTCAGGAATCCTTTCGTTTCAACTTTGACTCTTCGGTCCATCGGTGGAAAGTATGGAGCCTGGGCTGCAGGTTACGGCCCGCCGGGCCAGGGTTTAGCGTTCAGGGCTGTGTAGATCCAGGCTTCTAATGCAGGGGCCTGAATCATTACCAAGACTTTTGGGGTTCCAAAATATAATTGTGGCATAATCTACCCCGAAACTACCCTATGCTAAATTCAAGGCCCCGATAGTACTCTAGCCTGTGTTCTGCACAAGGCCCAACACCCCAAGCCACCGAACTCTGAACTGGCGACTCCAAATTCTACGCACAAGACCCTAAACTCCCACAGTGAGGCCCTGAACCCCAAACTCAAAACTCTCTCTGGCATATCTTGTTACATAGACCCCTTAACCCTACATCCCTGAATTGACAAAGCCTCTGTCGCGAAATCACCATAACCAGAAAGTTCCGGCTTGCCGTTAGCGTTCCTATATCCCTGAATGCTAAAGCGGTTTAGGGTTGAGGGTTTAGATGAGTCGTCTTCTATGTAGGTATCTCAAGAAGTCTTCCGAATGTGCTGCAACTCTAAGGTGAAGGAATGTCCTTCACAGGCGAATCATGTGCAACCAAGCAGGACTGCTCCAGGGTTTGAAGTTCAGGAATCAAGCCACATTGGCTTTGGAGCTACCCATATATACTTCGCTGCTCTCTAGCTCTACTGAAGAGATTGGGCACCTTGACGTCAAACAGACACAGGTAGTACACAACACTGCTTCAATACTGCATTCCTATTCTCGTCAGCTGCGACGATTGCCTTAGATCATCCTGGAGTGTTTGCTGCTGGTGTTGCTGTTTTGTCTCCTCGCTCTCCTGCAACTAACGCCGTTAGGAGGTTAGGAGGACGACTTGCATCACCGTTGCGGCAGTGACGACAACTGCTCCTGGTGCTACATGACAAACGTTTTGTTATGACTGTTATTTCTGTTGCTGCGGCTGCTAGACTTACTACTGCTGCTGCTGCTGCTGTTGCTGCTGCTGCTGCTACTACTACTACTACTACTACTACTACTACTACTACTACTACGACGACGAATGACGACCACGAACCCCACCATGACACGACCCCTACCACCACCACCACCACCACCACCACAGCTTCTGCTACGACAGCTACCACTGTTACTACTGCTACTACTGTTACTGCTGCTACTGCTGCTACTGCTGTTGTTGCTGCTGCTTCTTTCCGGCAATAATACTTTCCCACATGTCAGTACAGTGGTCAGAAGTGTAGTCCTATGTATGCAGTCTCGTCTGCAAGAGGGCCTGAATATTTACTGATGCTATTTTGGGGGAGCTCCTTTAAAGGGGTCTATCAGGGCTACTATAAGGGATCTAGAATATGTGCATCTTCAACTCGGAGTGCCTTGAGTCCTTACGCTCCAAGTCTTTGCATTGGCAGTGCGGCATCATCACGGCAATGATGCGCTACGACTCCACAAGAGACCAGAAAAGCCAATGCTTCCATTCACAGGCCCTCAGTTCTGTGTCCTATGTACCAGGAACAAAGATGACAGTCAGAGCTGCGTTTACCGACAGCCGATATGAGTGAGAATGGGGGTGCTAGATCTGTGGGAAGCAACGATTTATTCCAGTACAAGTGCAAAGCCGTAGTTGTAATGCCCATACTCACAACCTCACCTGAGAATGTTGGGGACTGTTGAAATCGACACCCTAAACCCCTAAACCCTAAACCTTAAGCCTTAAACCCTAAACCCTAAACCCCTAAACCCTAAACCTTAAACCCTAAACCCTAAAACAGAAGACTGCCATGGCACGAGGAGGCCGAGCACTCCGCCAGCTACAAAGCTCTCATGTTTTTGGATCCCAAGGGGCAGGGCCCGGGACAAGGCCGGGCCTTCGCGTTCATGGACCTGCGTAACACGACGGGGCTCAAATAATAGCAAAACGATTTCGGTGTACCTTATTATAGTTATAGTCTAACATATCCCAAAAACATATTTCAATGGTTAAGGCCCCTATAGTAGACATCTGCTAAGCCCCATTCCTTCTATGTGGGATCCCCATTTTGATCTTCATTCAGGGACTCTGGTCCTTTGGTTTAGGGTTTCGGGTTTATGGTCTAGGGAAGAAGTGTAATATAAGTCCCCTAATTGGGGTTATTAGTAATTATAGGTATAGTTACCTTACTTATAACCCTAGTTACTAAGTCCCATGACCCTTTAAGTAGCGACCTCAGACACAGCGAGCATACCCCCCCCCAACCCCCCCCTCCCCTTACGAACCATCCGGATCTCCAAGCTGAGAGTCTGAATACCCTCAGTTCTACGACACCTTACACAGTCGCAGCCTCTGAAGCCGGAGACCCTTGAGCTCCAATACCCTAGACTCTCAGACCGGAAGCTGCTACAACACAAACCTAGCTCGGCCTTCTAGCCTCTTGCCTAGCACCTAGCCCATGCAAACGAGGAGGTCTTCGAAGAAAGATGCGCATCATCGTAAGGCTGGTAAAACCACCATAATTACACTGACAGCAAGAATGATACGATAAACCCGCAAGCCTACGTCTAACGTCCTAACACGAACCCCAATCCCTAAACCCTAATCCTCTAAACCCTACACTTAAACTCTAATCCTCTAAACCTTAAGCCCTGATCCTCTGAACTCCATCATCCCCAAGCCCCTAAACCCCTGATTAAAGGATCATGGGACTTAGTAACTAGGGTTATAAATAAGGTAACTATACTTATGAATACTTATAACCCAAATTAGGTGACATAACCTTACTTAAACCCCAATCGGGGGACTTATAACCGTACTTACTAAGTCCCCTTATCCTCCAAGTAAGCCCTTTCTGGGCAGGGAAGGCCTTGAAGACCCCCGAGCCTCCGGCGCCGTCGGCGCCTGCGGCGCTGGCGCTTGTAGCGGCGGCGCCCCAGGCTGGGTTCTTACCCAATAGACCCGGTTAGACAGATTCCTGCCTAATAGTCACGATGTTATCTTAGACAACGATTTGACTATTAGTCAAGTTGGGCGTCTATAGATTTTTGCGTTTC